GGTTGAACACAACTTGAGCCATCTTTTGACACCGTGGTTGTTAAGCCTTCAATCAAATGGTGACCACGGCTCTGATACCACTTGAAAGGTCCTAATATGGCTAGAGGGGGTGAATAGCCTATTTAAAAATCTACAAGCCACTAGAGCAATTGATTAGTACAACAAACGACGTAATGCAATTTTACTCTAGCTCTACAAGGGTTGCAAGCCACCTATCCCAATAATTCTAGTTGCTATGATCACTAGGCACACAACAAGCTAAGTTACTACTCACTAAGCTAGTGTGCTCTCAAAGACTACCTAAAGAGCCACACTAACCAAACTAACAAGCTCTCAAAGACTAACTACACTAAAGAGCTTGACAACTAGTTTGAAAGGAATGTAAAAGAGTGAGTAATGTGATTATACCGCCGTATCAAGGAATGAACCAATCACAATAAGATGACAACCAATCATCGGGAGAAATCCAATCACAAAAATGACACATAATTTTTCTCTCGAGGTTCACGTGCTTACCAGCACGCTAGTCCCCATTGTGTCAACCACCACTTGGTGGTTCGACGGCTAAGAGGTGTTGCATAAACCTCATCCAACAAATGAACACTGCAGCAACCTACCCACAAGTAAGGTAACTCAAAGACATGAGCAATCCACTAGAGTTACCTTTTGGATCTCCGCCAGGGAAGGTACAAGACCCCTCACAATCACCGAACCCTGCCACGAAGAATCACCAACACATGCCGAGGCTCCTCCACTGCTCCAAGCTATCTAGGTGGTGGCAACCACCAAGAGTAATAAGAAATCCGCAACCACAACGATCCCCAAGTGCCACTAGATGCAATCACTCAAGCAAATGCACTTGGAATCACTCCCAATCTCACTATGATGATGAATCAATGATGCAGACGAGTGGGAGGTGTTTTCTTAGGCTCACAAGGATGCCAAGTATGTCAAAGTGCCAAGAGAGTAAGCCATGGGATGGCCAAAACCCTTTTATAGACCCCAACGAAATAGAGCCGTTATGCTCAAAGGGGGAGTCTCTGCGCATCGACCGGACGCACCGGTCACATTGACCAGAAGCAGCAAACCCAGCGTCTGGTTGCTTGATCACCGCCATGTGTCCATGCTTCAATCGTGTGCCGCTTGATTTCAACGGTCAAGTGACTCAGCGCAACTGTTAAGTGTTGATCGGACGCACCCGAGCCTGACCTGACGCTGCCCCGTAGCATCCACTCACGCTGTGCCTCCTCACCAATGATCGGACGTGCGGTTAGTGTGATCGGACGCTCCACAACATGGAGTCCAGTCACTTCTAGTAAGCTCCCCGAGATGGTTTTAGAGGACCGGACGCGTCAGATCATAAGGGACCGGATGTGCCCCAGAGTCCGGTCAGTACTTCGCTTCTGTGCTCGCGCAAACCCTGCCGACGTCGGTGTACGTCATTGCCGACTGAACGCAGGCCCTGAGTATCCGGTCGCTCCTTTTCTGCTGAGTTTGGTCAAGGAACCGAGGACGTCGTTCTCTACGCTAGTTGACCGGACGCGCCAGGGGTGAGTCCGGTCACCTCGTGGCCAGAGTTCAGTTAGGGACTTTCTCCTCCTTTTCTCTTTCTAAGTCCACAACCACTTCACCTTTGCTTCCAACTTGCTAACCACAAAGTGTAGAACTTGTGTGCATGTGTGTTAGCATTTTCCAAAGCATTTTACAAGGGTCAATGTTAGCACACTAGGTCCCTAAATGCAATGCATGAATCATGTCACCTAGTGGTACTCGATAACCGCTTAGCCAAAGATTTCTCCTCTTTATAGTACGGCTATCGATCATAAATGCACTTACTCTCTATGGTGTCTTAAGTGCCAAAACAAAAACCTATCTTATACCTTTGCCTTGATCTCCTTGATTTTTGTTTTTCTCTTTCTTGTTTTCCAAATGTGAAGCACTTGATCATCTTTTTTGTGGCCATCACCTTCACCATGACCATCATCTAGCTTCATCACTTGAGTTGTACTACCTTATCTAAATCACACACTTAATTAGATCAAAGGTTAGTCCTAGGTTTCATCAATTGTCCAAAACCAAACTAGGGCTTTCAGAGGCACAAATAGAACTCAAACACTGGTCGTGGGTATCACCCTTTGCAACCTATGAGTGTGCCCTCACCAAAAACTTCATCCCAAAACCTTGTGGGAAAAATGGTCATGGAGAAAAGAGCATGCACATGACTCTAGCCTATACAAGTGCTAACTCAGGAAGCTACTGACTCCAAGTGCTTCTATGTCAATCTCCCCGGTATCTTCATATACGAGCTTCGTCTTCCTTGACCGCATCTGTGACATGGGTTGTTAGGTTCGCTCGACGCATAGGTCTTTACCTTCGGGACCTTCTCCTTGCATAGATCTTCATCTTTGGGACCTTCTGATGCGCATATCTTTGCCTTTAGGACCTTCTCATTGTGTAGATCTTCATCTCTAGGATTGTTGGTATTTGATAGTGTAAACAAGAAAATAAGAATTATGCAAGAGCACAGATATACCACTGTAGCATTTTACTGGGAGTATTCCAGGTATCATTATTTATATTTTACCACTGAGAAGGATGGTGGCAAGAAAGAGATTGATAACTTATACTTATGATGAATCAATAAACTAAACACATACTCTGAAGTAGGGGTAAATCAAGTGATAATGATATATATGATAAGTATAAATACTCAGAGAGACTCCTATAAAGCAATAGCTAGTCTAGTTAGAATACAAGTGAGATAAATTCCTAAATTGTCTTAATTACAAGTCAAAGCATAATATGTCATTGTATATACTTAGCAATAGCAAGGATTAACTTATTTTTTATACCAGGGGACATCATCTAAAGACAAAGCATATTAATATACTTCTCTATAGTGATTAAAGGTCCTGCTAGGGGCCTACAAATGAGGAGTGGACTATAGAGGATCTAATTAGGTGTCACTACCACATAAATCTACCACTTCCCGGAATGCAGGATGCACCCACAGGCAAGATAATGTATAAGCACCACGCTTACACATGATCTGGCTACTTAACCTGTTCGAACACTGAGTTGAGCGCTCTGTGAACCAGCTAATTCTAACTATACCAAGCATAAGCTCAATATATACTAAGAACATGATAACTAAGACCATGATATAAATGAAGATTAATGTCATCAAGTAGATAATTATAAAGGATACAAGGGCTATACCAAGCCTCCAGTGACTAGATCCAGAATCCAAGCAGCAGTTCGACTCTACTTGATCTAACTAAACTAGACTATGATATGAATGTATGTATGTGGAGCTCTTCTCTCTTCTGAGTTTGATCTGACTCAAATGAATTGGAGTGCCTCCCAGGAGGGGGTCCGGGGGTCATTTTATAGGGAGGATGGAGTAGGGAGCAAGTAATCACCATGTCATCGATCCTCACCAATTCTTACTCCCACCATTGGATCAAACTGACTTGAATCAAGGATAAAGATTAATCCTCAAAGTTGGTGGAGAAATCCCGGCACCGACAGGTGGGTCCAGGGGGGTCGGTCGACCTACAGGTGGAGTCGGCCGACCCCACCATAGCCCCCGTCCACTTGGATCTCGTTCTCTAGCCCATGAAGGAATGTTTAGCAAGGCTGGTAGAGTTGGTTTTGTCGCGATTGGATCTAATCCCTTGTGATAGTATGGCCCGCTTTAGCCTATTTTCTGGATAAATCCTCCTATAATCATAAAATCACCAAAACTTGTGGAAACACTTAGTTTAAACTACTAGACCTACGTTGATGATTCATTTTAAAGATAATTATATGTCATATTAGTAGTTTATAGTTGACGTTATCGACCGTCAACAGGGACCTTCACCGCTAAATATCATAGCCTGCTATTTAAAACATTGGATGTACTTATATATATGAAACTCACTCATTTGTCCTAGAGAAATCCTAACCAACCCTCGGTTGTTAGGCACGCTCTCAACACGCGAATACGGAATACGTGATTCCCTGACAGCCGCAGGGTCAGGGTCACGACGCAGCGGAGGCGGCGCTCCGAGCGAGGACGTGTGCGACTGCTGGGCGACGACGCGTGGTCCGTGCGGGGTCGCAGTGCGGTGGAGGCGGCCCTCGCGTGTGCTGTGTGGTGGCGAGCGGCTGCAGGGGTGACGGCGGTGGTGTGTAGCCAGCCGGGGAGGGGACGACGGTGACCTGCAGCTGCGCGGGGATGGGCAGCCACGCCGTGGACTCGCGGCTGCTGGCGGAGGCGACGCTCCTCCTCGAGCTTCGCGGCCAGGTCCAGCAGCCGCTGCTGCTACGCTCGACGTCAGGCTATGGCCGTGGTTGGGCTTGTGGTTCGGTTTTCTCTGACATCTCATATTTACATCTGACATTTGTGAATAATTTGACATATATTTATTTGATATCTGCAATTCATATAAAAAATTTGTAAATTTTGAAAATTGGGCGTATATTTTTGTGAGATCTGCATCCATAGAAATATAAGTTGTCTTATTTCCAAATTACATCACTCTGTCCATTAAATTACAGCGAATGAATTATTGTAAATATAGTATTAAGACAATGCAAATATAGAAAACATCAGGTGCCAGCAACTTCTAAAACATTCATTTGTTGGGTGGACAGTTCCTTGTCCTACTAGTTACCATGGAAGTTTAACCATTGGATGATAGGATAGACTTACAGGCCCTGTTCGGCTGGCTGGAAAAACGGTGGATGTTGATGTTGATTTGTTGTAAGAGAAAAATATTATTATTTTGCTGAGACGGTACGGCCGATAAGTTAAGGGGCCACAATCATAAACTGGATCAGTACGTAGCTGCCCCTTCACCAACTCTTAAACACGTTATAATTAGTACATATGAGCAGGTGCCAAGTGCTAGCTAGCTCTGAATATTACACATCCAGGCACCCTAGGAAGGTAGGCTACTGCTCTGTATTTTAGCCGACTTACTTCTTGCAGTTGCAGGCAAAATCCAAACATCTCAGTGCTGCTTGCCTCCCTGCTGCAAAGTGACCAAGCCAAAGTAGGTCCCAGAGCGACCATTGGCCATTAGGGACGCATGCGTGCCCTTCTCTACGACGACTCCCCTATCAAGCACAGCTATCATATCACAGCTCTGGATGGTGCTGAGCCTGTGCGCCACGACCACGCTGGTCCGGCCAACCATCACCCTGTCCAGTGCCTCCTGCACCGCCTTCTCGGACTGGCTGTCCAGTGCGCTTGTAGCTTCATCGAGCAGCAGGATGGCTGGGTTCTTGAGAATGGCGCGGGCGATGGCGATGCGCTGCTTCTGCCCTCCTGATAGTTGGACGCCCCGGTCTCCACACCATGTGTCGTACCCATCCTTGAGGTTACTGATGAAGTCATGCGCGTTGGTGGACCTTGCCGCCTCCTCGACCTCTGCCTCACTCGCCATCTCCGCCTCCATCATTATGTTCTCTTTTATAGTGCCAGCGAACAATGTTGGCTCTTGGCTGACGAGTCCAATATGTCGACGCAGAGCTTGGAGATTGTATGCTTTGATGTCTCTACCATCTATGTTCACCACGCCCTTGAGTGGGTCGTAGAACCGTTCTATAAGCCCGATGATGGTTGACTTGCCAGAGCCACTTTGCCCGACAAGGGCTGTTGACTTGCCTGCCATCATGCTCAACGAGAATCCTCTGAAGATGATCACATCTGGCCTGGATGGATATGCGAAATCAACTCCTAGAACTTCCACCTCTCCAATGAGCTTCTCTGGTTTGTACCCCTTAGGATTGTCGGGGTCAATCTTCGTTTGGCGGTCGAGAATAGTGAACACTGAAGAGACCGCTTCGGCACCTTTGGCGATATCTGTTGTCATGCTACATGCATCTGCTATCACACGCCCTGTGGTGACTAGAATCATGCTGGTTTGGAAGACCGCCTCCACAGCAATGAGCCGCTCGGCCATGAGCTTGCCACTGTACCAGTAGTTGAGGGCCCATGAGAATATGGTGAGGCCCACAGAGGCGCCGAGCCCTAGACCTGCGAACCACGACTGCCGGATGCTCTCCTTGTGTGGTCCATCCTGCGCCTGGCTGAAGAGGCGTAGGATGCGGCCCTGGGATGAGAAGGCGGTGATGGTGCGGAGGTTGGAGACAGCGTCAGCAGCTAGCTTGCTAGTTTCGGACTGGGCCTGTATCGACTTCATGGACATGTTCTTCAGCAAGACACGGCGAGCATAGGAGCAAGCAATGATAAACGGCTGCAGTGCTATCATGACAAGGGCCAACCGCCAAGAAATGACAAGACCCACTGTGAAAGCAATGACCACCATGGAAGCCGTCTGGATCAACAGAGCCATTCGGTCGCCCACCAGTGACCTTACCTGCAACACAAATATATGTTCATGTATGCATGACTATACTTTTGCAAGTATGATCATAAGCTATAGTACATAGTATTTTTTTCTGAGTACAGTACTTACGATGTTGGCGTCCTTAACGAGCTGTGAGCATATATTGCCAGTGGAGTTGTCGTCATGGTCAAACCATCCAATCTCAAAAGTGAGGATTTTTGCAAGCATTCGCTTCCTGATCCTCTTGGTCAGGCACTCTCCCATGGCAGCAAAGCTATAGTGCTGTCCAATGTTGAGCATGAATGAGAGCGCAACGAGAGCGAGGAAGATGAAAGCATACATCCTTGTTTTGTCCTTGATCTCCTCATGATCTGTCGAGTAGTAGATGGAGAATGTGCACCCCATGCCATATGCAAAAATAGGCTGGATTGCCCCAGATAGGACTGCACATGAGCTCCCCACCAGTGCAAACTTCCACTCTGGTGCATTGAGGAGAAGCAACCTTCCGAAGGATGGCACAGGAGGCTTTGGCTTCTCATCAGCGTTCTCACCATCTCTTGCGTCACCAACGGACCATGTCGAACTTGACCTGCTAGCTGAAGAGACCATCTTGCTGTTGCTGCTGCATTGCCCTCCACTAGGAGATGCACCACAAGTTCCACTAACCTCGGTGCCCTCACCTGAATCTCTATTCTGCTGAAGATGGACAAGAGATGAGTACATGCCATTCTTGGCAATGAGCTCACTGTGGGAGCCCAGCTCCTGGACTGCGCCAGATTGCATGACAGCTATGCTGTCGGCATTTCGGACGGTGGAGAGGCGATGTGCAACAAGGATGGTAGTCCGGCCTACGGAGGCCGCGTCAAGCGCCTCCTGCACGACGCGCTCGGACTCGGTGTCCAGTGCGCTCGTTGCTTCGTCAAGGAGCAGAATCTTGGGTGACCTCAGGATTGCTCTAGCAATGGCAATCCTCTGCTTCTGCCCTCCAGACATCTGTGCACCACGCTCACCCACCTGTTTTTGTTTTCATTTCACACATGATTAGTATCGGTATCGGAATTCGGAGACAGTGATTATTAGTGCAAGTCTAGATAGCTATCATCAATTCATCAGACAGGTTGTTACCTGCGTGTCGTAGCCCTGTGGCAGCTGCGATATGAAGCTGTGGGCATTGGCCGCCATTGCTGCCGCGACGACCTCCTCCCCTGTAGCATCCTCCTCGCCGAACAGTATGTTCTCCCGCACCGACATGGCGAACATGGCGGGCTCCTGGCTGACGAGCCCCATCTGCGCGCGCAGCCACTTGAGCCGGAGACGGCGGATGTCCACGCCGTCCAGCGCCACCTCCCCGGCCGACGGGTCGTAGAACCGCTCCAGCAGCGCGATCGCCGTCGACTTTCCAGACCCACTGGGGCCGACGAGCGCCACCGTGTGCCCAGCCGGCACCCGCAGGCTGAAGTTGGCCAAGACGGGGCTCTCTGGCCGCGACGGGTAGCAGAAGTCGACGTTCTTGAACTCCACCTCGCCGGCGACGTTGGCCAGCTCCTCGCCGGCGCCACTCTCGGAGTCAATCTTGGGCACCCGCTGTATCATTTCAAGGATCCTGTCCGCTGCCGCGGTCGCCTCCGAGAAGTACTTGACGTTGGACAGTGCCGACCCCAGCGACCTGCATCATTACTGACGTTGTCATCTCTAAGTATATATACTCCTATCTGACAGTAGTAAGTTAGTAGTGACGTACACGCCGCCGATGACGATAAGGGAGGAGACGACGAAGACGGTGCCTCCCGGGTAGCCGTGGTACATGACGAGGCGGCCGCCGTACCAGATGTTGAAGGCGTAGATGGCGAAGGCGATGCCGTTGGTGCCGAGGGCGATGCCCTTGGCGAGCCCCTGCCTGAGGCCGAGGCGCCCCGACTCCTCGAGCGCGGCGGAGAACCGGGCCATGGTGGTCTTCTCGGCGACGAAGGCGTAGACGGTGCGCACCGACGAGACGGCCTGCTGCGCGACGGCGCCCGGGAGCGCGTACTGCTCCCTGATCCTCCGCGCGAGGCCCGTGAGGGCGCGGCCGTAGGAGACGCCCGGGATGATGAGGAGGAGCGCGGACGGCAGCGTCACCAGCGTGAGCCGCCACAGCAGCGCGAAGCCCACGGCGTAGCTGCCGGCGTACATGGTGACGTACATGGCGAAGTTGGGCACCTTGTCGCTCAGCGCGTCCTGCACGACGAGGCTGTCGTTGGACACGCTGGTGACCACCTCCGACGTGGACCCCGGCTTGAGGTCGAAGAACTCCACGTCCTGCCGGAGCACCGCCTGCAGGTACCGCGCCCGCATCCGCGACGCCTGCCGCTCCGCCGTCCGTGCCCAGCAGTAGCCCTCTGCACGTACGTACGTGTACGTATGCGCGTATGGCACAACCGTATCAGACGCGACGAATGAACTGACACGTTACATATATTGTGCTGCAGAGCTGTGCTCACGGACCATACCTAGGAACGCCATTACCCAGGAGGCGCACGCAATGTAGACGATTCTGATCACGTTCTGCAAGGATTAGTACATGAGTTCATTGACGTCAGGGACGATGATACGAGATGCCGGCTTGGAAGTGAACGCCTACGGCCTACCGCGTTGATCTTGGAGGTGAACTGATGCTGGAGGTGATCGGGGCCGCTGCCGAGGTCGTTGGCGATGCGGCTGGCGACGAGCAGCCGCAGGGGCGTGGCCATGCCGTCGCCTATGGCGCCGACCAGGCCTAGCACCATCAGGGCCACGTCGACGGCGTCCGCGTGCACGAACACCGAAGACCCCAGCGCCACCAGCGCGGCCGCGTCCACCTTCTTTGCGCGTCGTCCGGCGGCGTCCATGACTGGTCGATGAAGGCGTACGTACGTGATGTGGGGTCACCTATGTAAACCACCACCGTCGTCGTCGTCGGTCAGAGTACGTGCCGGTAGCCGGTGTAGCAGACGCGACGCCCAAGGATCACTGACGAGACGAGACAGTATATATAGACCAGACCAATGGGATCGATCACAAGAAACCTGTGATGCTCTGTTGCTCACACGAGCACGCCTGTACATGTAGTGAGCCACACTCTGCGTCCCGTTCTGTTGCATTATATTGATTCTCAAGGCAAGCAAAGCATTCATGCTTAACAAGCCGTCAGCCGTGTAGCAGCACACCTCTCCTTATTTTGGCCTTTTGCCATGCCAATGCCGACAGAAGAGGTCCTACAGATAACACTTGCTACGGCCTACGGTGACACATGCAGGTACATGCCCTACTGTACAGGCTCCGGGACGCTTAATCATGCACCATCAAAAGCAGTAGTAGTAGTAAAATCAGGACGTCTGGATTGGTACTTGTCTGACCACGAAGATGAGGATCCTAACCGTCTACGATCGGTGATGACTGATGACAGTGGCATTTTCTGCTCCCTGCCAAAACCGTCCATGCATGTCGTCCGTCATGTAGGTCTGTAGGAGTATTTAGCTAGACAAAGGAATGTAGTAATGGCAGGGGCTGCTCCCGCACTTTGGCCTTGTTTAGTTCGCGGTTAGAAATCAATATTTGATATTATAGTACTTTCGTTTGTATTTAACAATTATTGTTCAATCATGGTCTAATTAGGTTCAAAAAATTTGTCTCGTAATTTACAATCAAACTGTGTAATTAGTTATTGTTTTATCTACATTTAATACTTCATACATGTGTGCAAAGATTTGATGTGATGGAGAGAGAGTGAAAAAATTTGAAATCTAAACAAGGCCTTCCATACTTCTGATGCTAGGAGTAGGAGCCTAGGATGATGGACCTATTTGTGCAAATACTCCGTAAAAAGCGTGGCCGGCAGCGTTGTCCATGTGGATCTGCTATTGCAGCTGCCTCTTTTGTGGATCCTTCCACCAGGATGATATCTCCTGTAGTGCAAATGGTCGGCACTACCTACTGCCTCTGTTCTTTTTTCTTTTTAAAACAAGGCAACAACTGTTCGTTACAGATTACAATCATGATGAGCTAACCTCGTTACACCGTTGAACTGAGTGAACATCTTAACTAAAAGAGGAGCTACCTCGTTACAGTACATTCTACTGGGTTCGCTTGAACTTATCAACCTATCTTATCAGTCATGCAACGTTTTTCTCTCACAACAAATCAGCGAATAATACTTTTCAATCCGGCTTTTTAGCCTGGATTTACAGTAATCAGGTTTATAACTCTCGTGTATTAATATATTCGACTGGCAAATGCCCTGCCAGCAATTTTCGAAAACAAAAAAAGGTTTTTAACATCCTGAACGAGGACTCCAACATGAGATCTATCAATCCCCTTGGACTTTATCTTCTTAATAACATTTCGACACTCAGAAGCTTTAGTGAACTATCTGAGATTATGCTCCGCAGCAAAGGAAACAGCTACTCTGTCTACAATTGCTTCACCTTGTTCGGGAATCAGGACGATCCTCACTGAAAGCACCCTTGTGATCAACCACCAATTCGGTGGTGGAATCCATTTTTGGACAGGGTAATCTGATTCACACCTATGTCATGTTGATATTTTAGATAAGTGCAGAAATGCAAAGACATCTGTCTATAACCTATCTCCTTTTCTGCAATTACCTTGGTATGGACCAAGTCTCCACCATTGCATACTGCATTTCTTGTCTCCCAAATATGCCAAGCAATGAAAGCTAAAGTGGTGGTCTTTTGCTTATACGATGGACCATCTAAGAAACCAAATAACCACTGCTTGATACAAACCAAGTACTTTATATTCAGTCTGAGGTCAAAACACCTTTTCATGTCACACCAAACCTCAGATACATACTGGCATGTTAAATTAAAGTAGCATCTCCACAGTTTCTTCCCTGCTGCACAAGGTCACACCTACCCACAGCGTATCTGATGCTGAAAAAACCCTGTAGGTGCCACCTCATCTCGATGCCAAAAACCATACGTAGCTACAGCGTCGGCATCGAGGCTTGGAGTGTATGTGGGATCCAAGTGTGGTCAGAGCATCTGCTCTCTTTCCGTTGTGAGAACTAAGGGCAGCTCCAGTCTGCATGCGAAACGAACGTACTCCGCCGTCCCTAAACGTACGTGGTTTTCGCTTCTAAAGAAACAATTTTAATTAAATATATATTAAAAAATATAAATATTTATGATACATAATTAGTATCCATTAGATAGATATTTAAATTTAGTTTTTTAATAAATTTATTTAGAGATAGAAATGTTGCACGTATTTTTTATAAATTGAGTTAAAGTTATCGGTTCGACGCTTCATAATAGAATATTAATTTCATGTACGGCCGTACGCTGCCATGCACAAGAGACGAGCGCTGTGGTCTCCAATTTGTTTATTGTTTGATGTGGGTCCTACGAAGAGAAAAACGAACCGCACACTAGAGCTGCGCTGCTTCCCTTGCAAACGATTTCAAAGGCTGCATGCGTGGCCTGACAAATGCAGTTTGGTTCGCCATCACACTGGAGCTGCTCTAATGGCTGCTTGAAATTACTTTTTTATTTGACTCAGCATCGAGGAATGAAGACAACCCGGGTCATGTGTTTTTTTGTTTGAGCATCGGTACGTACACGTTTCACCTCGGTGCTTCATTACCTTTTCTCTTTGTCAGCCTCGGTAAAAAGGCACGTTGTGGGTAGTCTGAGATGCAGGTGTTTCGATACCTTGAGTTGAGTGCCTGTTGGCAAGCAGTTCTAAGCCATTCTTCGTAACATTACCTTTATGTTTTGGGAGGTGCCTGAACACACCAAAGTCATTTTCCGGTTTTAGAGGTATCATTTTGATCAATGTCTTCTCCTCTTCTATCGTTTTATAAATTCATTTGAACTTATCTTGTTAGGAAAAACGTACTATCAAGGGGATTGAAATCAAACTTCTTGCAGGTGTCTAAGTGCTCAAAGAGATACAACTTAAACATAGGAATGATAGAAAAATTCTCATATATTTCCCAAATATGTGCTAACTGATCAGGGTTACAAATTCGGTCCTATATCAGAAATTACAGAATTTAAGGGAAAATTTCCCGTTAGAGGTCCCCATGATAGAAAAATTCCCATATATTTCCTAAATATGTGCTAACTGGTCAGGGTTACAAATTCGGTCCAATATCAGAAATTACAGAATTTAAGGGAAAACTTCCCGTTAGAGGTCCTCATGTTGGAATTATTTACTGTGCACTGACGAGCGCTGACAGACATAGCATTCTAGAGAACTTATACTCTGAAAATCTCTTGAGGTCTGGATGGATAGTCCATCTGACACCGTTGGACAGTCCATCGAATCTCACACTTAGGTGGTGTTCAGATTAAGTTTTGAGGTGTCACATCGGATGTTATATGGGGTGTCGCATGGGGTGTTCGGATACTAATAAGAAAACAAATTACAGAATCCGTCAGTAAACCGCGAGATGAATTTATTAAGCCTAATTAATCCATCATTAGCACATGTGTGTACTGTAGCACCATATTATCAAATCATAGACTAATTATGCTTAAAAGATTCATCTCGCAAAGTAGTCGCAATCTGTGCAATTAGTTATTTTTTAGTCTATATTTAATACTCTATGCATGTGTCCAAACATTCTATGGGATATGGTGTAAAGTTTTGGGAACGAATTAAACAAGGCTTAGTTGTTTTTCAATATGAGCACAATCACCTTGATGGACAGTCCATCCGTCATCGACTACAACTATTTGTAGCTACATCGACCTCAATTTCTAAATTATCGTGATTGGCTATGTTGATATCAACAACTAAGGGCAATGTCAACAGAGTCATCTTCAAAAAGTCTAGTCAAAGCATCCATGCTGTCACTATTGCCCATGATACTCCCACTATGACTGCGAGAGGGAATAGAGGAGAGACAGGGGACAACACTAGAAGAAGACGCATGCATGCCGTAAGTGCCAGGTCATCCATCAGAGACATAGTTGTTGATGGTGAAGACGAGAAGACGGCGTGGAACCACAATAAAATCCAGTTGTAATCGTACGCTTTGCTCTCGCTATGACTTGTTTGCTAGGATGGTTTAGCCCATGGCTATAATCCTGTAGACTCTCCTAGGGTGCTCATCAGACGTGCGTTGTGTACTAAACTTTCAACCTTAATACAAAGATGCGCAAATCTTTTACGTATTCCAGAAGAGGAGGAAATGTTACAAGTGGTTAAAGATAATTGAATATGTACGAACTCGAGAGATAAAAATATAGAATCCTAGAGATAGAATAAGATTAAGCCTAGTATACAACTTATTCTATACTCTTCTTCCTCACATGTACTTCTATATGAACCCTGAGGGTTGCAATAAAAAACATATATCATTATATTTTCCTCCATACTCACCCTTTTCTTTTTTCGCTATAATAAACCGGATGTGTAACCGACCTACAGTAAATCTAGATTGTGGCTTATCTGAATGGGCTGCATGTCTGAAAGTGCAACACTCTTGTCATGCAGACATCTCAGTGCTGACCGCCTCCCTGCTGCAAACTGACCAACCCAAAGTACTTCCCGGAGGGTCCCTCGGCTATCAGGGACACGTGCGTGCTCTTTGTTGGTCTCTCGGCTACCCTGCACAGGTAAGCAGTAAGCTTACCAGCACACTCACATACTATAGATAGAGGTAGAAGAAGATATTGAGAACAGCTCACACATACACACAGTACAAGCCCAGTGCTGGCCGAAAGCTCTGCTCCTGGATATAGCAAACTGAACTGATTTGCTGTATTGCCTTGGCATAGCATATATACAGGTGCTTGGTACCTCTATCAGGTACATAGTTTTTGGTGAGTACACCAACTATCTACTCCTAAGGTATAAGGCTTAGCTCAGACATCTCTACACTACATGGCTGAAATAAGCCATTCCTACTCCCTTACTACAATAACAACAGGGACTGGACAGCTGAGCCAACCAGTTCCAACTCCTAATCAGGGAATGGACAGCTTAGCCGACCAGTTCCAATGGGGAGCAACATATTATGTCTTATAATTCTTCCTCTAATCTTGCTGCTAACATGATGCCTGAAACTCATCTATGCCAATCATCTTCCTCAGCTCCATGAACCGCAGGCGCCCGAATGACTTGGTGAGGATGTCAGTGAGCTGTCTGCTGGTCTCGACAAACTCGATGACGATCTGTCCTCCATCGATACAGTCCCGGAGGAAGTGGAATTTGATGTCGATGTGCTTGCTCCGGTCGTGGAGGACATGATTCTTAGCGAGGGCGATGGCGGGCTGGTTGTCCACCATCAGAGCTGGCGGGTGAGCTTCCTCGCCGGTCAGCTCGCCCAGCAGCTGGCGCAGCCAGACAGCCTAGCACGCCGTCGTGGCCGCTGCGACGTACTCTGCCTCACACGTCGACATCGCCACGATCTTTTGCTTTAGCGACTGCCAAAAAAGACGAGCACGCCGGAGGTGCTCCGTCGCCCATCAATGTCGCCCGCCATGTCCGCATCGCTGAAGACAGTGAGCTCTAGCTCACCTTCCTTTGCCTTGGGGGTGCCTCACTGAAGACCGTGAGCCACAACCCTCCCTTGCCGCCACTCTTGGGGAAGATGATCGCTTGATCGAGCGTCCACTTGACGTAGCGCAGCAACCTTTTCACTGCCGACTAGTGATCTTCGCGCAGGTCCTCCATGAAATGGTTGACATACCCAACCACGAACGCAATGTCCGGTCGGGTATGAGTGAGGTAGCGCAGCTTGTCGACGATGCTCTGGTAGCGTGTCGCGTCCACCTTCACAGCAGTGCTGTGCTTGCTCAGCTTCAGCTGCTCCTCCATCGGAGTCGCGCACGGCTTTCACTCCGCCATGTCGCCGCGCTCCAACAGCTTCTCCGCGTAGGCGCGCTGACCTAGGGAGATGCTCTGCTTCCCCTGCCTCACCTCAATGCCGAGGTAGTAGGAGAGCGCGCCGAGATCGCTCATCTTGAAATGAGCCGCCATCTCGCGCTTGAAACCGTCGATGTGCTCTGCTCGCGCTTCAGTGATGATTAAGTCATCCACGTACATGCCGACGACGAGCTCCTCCTTCCCCCATCGCCGCATGTAGAGCGCGTGCTTTGTAGCGCAGCGAGTGAACCCAAGCTTGCCCAATGTGGCATCGAGCTTGGCGTTCCACGTCCGAGGGGCCTACCGCAACCCGTAGAGCGCCTTACGTAGCTGGAGCACCTTGTGCTCAGCGCCCTTAACTACGAAGCCTGGAGCTTGCTTAACGAAGATCGTCTCCATGAGCTCGCCATTGAGGAACACAAACTTGATGTCAAGGTGGTGGACGCGCCAATCCTTCGCTGCTGCCATGGCCAACAGCAAGCGAACGGACTCCATTCGTACCATCGGAGTAAAGACTTCCTCGAAGTCGATGCCCTCACGCTGCACGAAGCCGTGGGCGACAAGCCGAGCCTTGTACTTGACAATGGCACCGCGCTCGTCCCGCTTCACCTTGTAGACCCACTTCAAGCTGATCGGTCTGCAGCCCATCAGTGGATCTACCAGCTCCCATGTGCCATTGTCCTTGATGGCCTTCATCTCTTCCAACATCACCCGTCGCCAATTGGCGTCGCGTTCAGCCACTGCAAACGTTGGTGGCTCCTTGGTACTATCAAGGAGCAGCTCTAGATCGTCGAGCAGCTGACTCGCCAGGCCTGTGGCCCCTGCATTGCTGACAATGTTGTCCAGCCTACGATACCACACCTCCTCGCCATCGTGGAAGGCACCCACGAACTCGCTGATGTCGCTTGGAGGGGAGGTGAACTCGATCGGTGGTCCCCGGTCTCCCTATTCTACCGGAGTGGTCGGTATCGCTGCTGGACTGCTCGGCACCACTGCCGTAGTGGTCGTCATCACTGCTGGACCGCTCGGCACCACTGCCGGAGCGGTCGGCACCACTCTTGGAGCGGTCGGCACCACTCCTGGAGTGGTCGGCTCCACTGCTGGAGCGCTTGGCACTACTGCTGAAGTGCTTGGCACCCCCTCTAGAGTGGTTGGCATTGCTGCTGGACCGCTCTGCACAACTTCTGGGGTGGTCGGCACCTCTTCTCCAGTGTCTCCACCACCGTGGATGACTAAGTGTTCGACGACGAAGGTGTTGCTCAAGCTGCCAGCTTCCCTCGTGCCTGAACCCTCCTAGTCCTAGGCCGCCATCTCATCAAAGACCACATCCCTAGAGATCACCACCTTGCCTTTCTTGGGATCATAGAGCCAATACAGCTTGGTGCCCTCCTCGTAGCCCAGGAGCACCATCGGCGTGCTCCTGTCTTTTAGCTTGCCGAGGTGAGGCTTGGTGTTCTTCACATGGCCAACGCAGCCAAAAATCCTAAGGAAGGACACATTCGGCTTGCGTCCATGCCAAGCCTCGAACGGTGTTTTGCCCTTCAGGGACTTAGTGGGCGCGCGGTTGAGGATGAACACCGCTGTGGTCATCGCCTTGCCCCAGAACTCCACCGGCATCTTCTTGGCCTTCATCATCGACCTCGCCGTGCCAACCACCGTCTTGTTCCGCCGCTCCACCATGCCATTCTGCTGTGGCGTATACGGTGTGGTGTGGTGACACACCACCCCTTGATCCGCGCAGTACACGGCGAACTCCTCCAAGGTGAACTCGCCGCCACGATCCGTCCTCAGCACGCGTAGCTTCTTCCTGCTCTCGGCCTCCGCACGCGCCTTGAACCTCTTGATGGCCTCTGCCGCCTCGGTCTTGTTGGTTAGAAGCTACAGCCACATGTACCGGCTACAGTCATCCACCAGTAAGATGAAGTACTTGCGCCCGCCAGGCGTCGCCGGTGTGATCGGCACGCAGAGGTCA